GGGCCTCAGTTTTCTAGTTGTTGTCACCAATGTCAGAGCAGCTTTTTCGACTTCGGAATACCTCGCTTCTGCTCCCTGAAGTACTCGAATTGTATAATAAATCGGTTGTTGGGCTCCTGCTGCTTCTCGCAATAAAACGGAACTTAAAGAAAACATCCCCACTGAAATGTAAAGCACCAGTTCGTCACCTAGTTCTGGTTTCATTAATAGCGGCAATTCGCTCACAAATTCTTTCAGTTTTTCGAATGCTACTTGCGCCTCATCATTCCATTGGAAAGCTTTCTTTTTAAGCAACTTGAAAAATGGAAAACTTTTCTCCGCCGCTCGAGCAATGAACCTGCTTAGGCCGGCAATTCGACCTGTCAAAACTTGTACTTCTCTGATATTTCTAGGTGCGGCCATGTCGAGTATAGCCTTCACCTTATCCTTGTTCACTTCGATGCCCCTCTCAGTTACGACATATCCCAAGAATCATCCCGCCTTTACTCCGAAAGCGCACTTACTTGGGTTTAGCTTCATCCCAAATATTCTTAGTGTCTTAAATGTTTCCCTTAAATCCTCCACATGCGAGATCGAGGACCTACTCTTCACCAGGATATCGTCCACGTAAACCTCCATATTTCGCCCGATCTGCGATTTAAACATTCGGTCCATTAACCTTTGGTACGTTGCCCCTGCATTTTTAAGCCCAAAAGGCATGACGACATAACAATATGTCCCCTTGCTCGTCACGAAACTAACTTTTCTTTGATCCTCAAGGGCCAGCGGGATTTGATGATATCCCTGGGACGCGTCCATCATACTTAGCAATTGGCAGCCAGCTGTGGAATAGACCAGCTGGTCGATTCTCGACAAGGGGTAGTGATCGTTTGGGCATGCTAAATTCAAATAGCGAAAGTCAATGCACATACGCCACTTGTTCAGCGCTTTTGTCACCATCACCGTGTTTGATATCCATTCAGGGAATTGAATTTCATTGATATGTTTGGCTTTTAGTAACTTATCTACCTCGACCTCAATTGCTTTATCAATTTCCGCCCCATGATGCCTAAGCCGCTGCTTTACGGGCTTTTTTAGGGGGTCGACATTAAGTTTATGCTCCATGACATCGAGATCGATTCCCGTTAATTCTTCCGGGGAAAAGGCAAATATGTCTCTGAATTCTTTCAACAGTCCCACTAACTGTCCACGCAATTCGTCTTCCAACTCTCTCCCGACTTTAGTGGTCTGCTCCTCTCTTTCCCCGATTTGAATTTCCGTCAACTCTCCGTGCGGCTCAAGGTCGCTTTCCCTTTGTCTCGTTTCACTCGACATCGGCTTTTTCCCTTCCTTTACTTTCGCTCGTTGGTTTGTTCTTACTGCTATCTGGTAATAGGTTCTTGACAGCCTCTGGTCTTCTCGGGCCTCCCCTACTTTATCTCCAACGGGGAACTTCAACGTCATGTGGTATGTCGACACTACTGCTTGGAATGTGTTTTAGCGCTGGCCTTACTAGAATCACATTATAAGCCGACTCGACGTCGACTACAACAAATCGCACCATCTTTACTTTCCTCAAGTCGCCTTCCCCGAGGACGACAGCGAGCGTGGTTTCTCCTAGGGGTGCGACTTCCGAGCCATTAAACCCAAAAAGTGAGGTGTGCAGGGGCGTAAGCTCGATGACGAGTTCCATCCGTTTAAGGCAATTGTAAAAGATCTCATTCACCGAGCTTCCTGTGTCGACGAAGATCCTCTGCACTTCATAGCCTGATATTTGAGTAGTGATCATTAGAGCATCATTATGAGGTCTTTCGACCTCTCCCATATCTGCTGGCCCAGAATTCATCACTGGACCATTTTCCTCAACCTGTTGTACTTCAATTTTTCTGTGGCGGCCTCGAGCATACGCCTTTCTGGCTCGATTTGAATCTCCATCAGGCGGCCCTCCGAATATCATATGAATTATTCCTCTTTTATGAGGAAGCTCCTCCTTGTCGGGTGTCCTCGCTCTCTTGCGAGGGCTCTTGCTTCTCTCCCTTCGCCGACTGGTTCGATCTCGATCCTTATAAACGAACTCCTTTAGATGGCCTGATTTGATTAGTCTCTCGATCTCATTCTTCAGGTGCCGACATTCGTCGTTATTATGCCCGTAATCCTTGTGGAATCGACAATACAGATCGCTTTTGGGCTTTGTCGGTCCATCCTTTCTTGTCCGTGGCCACCTGACAACACTTTCGCGAATTTCTTTCTCCATTACCTCCAATATCCTTGCACTCGAGGCTAACAGGGGGGTATATTGAGTTATCCTCCATCCCCTTGATCGCCCCTCCCTTTCTGACTTCGGGGATCCTTTCCTTTCTACCGACGTGATTGGTTTCTTATCCTTTTTCTCGTCTCGGGATTCAGTTTTCGCTTTAGCCGCTTGCAAAAAGTCAGCTTCGGCTTCCTCGACATTCATTTATTTGGCGCACCTTCCTAGGACCTCATCAAACGTTGTAATGCCCCGTTTATTTGAGAATTTACTAGAGTTATTTATTATATTTATTATTGCTTATTTATTATTACTTATTGTCTAAATGTTATTAATTGCTTGAATGCCTAATTGCTATTTTGTTATTGTTATTATTATTATTATTATTATTATTATATTGATATTATTTATATT